AAATTTTGAAAGTGTGGTTATTAATTATTGTGAGAATTAATATTATTTAAGAAAAGGGAATAATTATGTTAAATTACTTGTTATTAATGAAAAAAATGATCCTGTTAAATTTATTTATTTACGACAGCCTATTTGATCTCAATTCAACCTTTGAATCGATCGGGACCCTTTGCCTTTTTTGAAAAAATGTCCTGATCGATTTTAGAAAGTATTGATTGTAAGTTTAAATTTTGTTTCTCATTGTTCTTCATCCCCAATTGACGCACATGAAGGAATTTAACTAGTGTTGGAATAAAATTAGTCGAATTTGATGTTTTAGAAAACCTGACAATAGAGTGGAGAATGGGTAGGTTGAGCATGACGAAAGGACCTCATTGATAAAATTCCTCGTTTCGATATGGAATATGGTAAGCCTAGCTTGTAATATTCGTGATCCAAGTGCATGTAATTATTTATAGAAAACACGCGAGTCGTTCTACGTATACATTTATTATCCGAGTAATGTATGTCATGTAAAGAGACTACGATAGTGAGCAACTACAAATGACATTATTCTTATTATACACCTATGAATCCTTGTACATACAACTCATGTACCGTATAACCTCAATGTGATCTTCAACATATGTGAAATTTAGAGGGTTTTTAATTTTGTTTGTTGCATTTTTAGCGGTAGTCTTTTATTTTCCTAGCACTTGGATCTCACTAGATGGTTTCGGTGCATTTGACAGTGAAAATGTTATGTGATCATCACACGTCTAATAGGTCAAGCTTAATGACAAAGTCGGTTTAAGTTAAATTGAGAATGTTTGGCTGTGGAAGGGCATCTAAATTATGTTTGCGACGGGGACACAAACACGTTTATCATTATCCTTAAAAGCACTAAATTTAATATCAATTTCAAACTTTCAAATGTGAATCATCTGATGTGCATACTTATCTCTGTGGTTGCAAGATTAATAAGTGATGCGGCATTTGGAAGATGCCACTCCTTTTTTCTTGAGTCTCGTGCACCGTTATTCGAGGACTTTGGAAAGTTGGGCTATACGTCAAAGGAATAACTCATAAAGGATATTTAGCCCTCATTTGTTTTCCATTATTTGCACATTAAAATAAAAAATATGATCGTTATCCATCACATTAAACTACTATATTTGACTTTCTATATCTTGTATGGAGCCTGTAATAAATATATTTTTTATTCTCATTTTTACATTAATGTGTACCAAACGGGACCTTAATAAAGCTTCAATCACTGGAATTAATATACATCGTGTTGAGGTCTCCTTTTTTATCTTCCTCTACTTTTATTGAGATATTTCTTGTATAATGATCAACCACAAGTGGTAAAAGTTGTCACTCTATATAGAGAAAGTAATGAAATGACATAATATTTGAGTGGAGATAAGTATCATTTATTCCTTTTTCTTTTTTCTTGAAAACTCTTCCTTCAAAGTTCTTGCTTAAAGTTCGAAAAGTGCTTGAATTGACGAGGTATTATAAAATATACATGAACTTTCTGACACTGAACTTTTTGAATCTTGTTGGATTCAATTTGATGATGATGATAATAATAGCACCTATTTTTTGATTAAAATTTCTAATAACTTAATTATTGATGATAAAATCTGAAATCCATGGTTTCCTCTAATTTTCTTAATGAAAAAAATAATAATAATAAATAAAAAGTTAGGTCAACCTTGAATATGGGGTGGATTGACACCAACTTCATTTTCAACAACATATTTAATTAAATAATAAATTATCCACATATTTCTGTTGATGTGTAAATTAAACATTTTATTTTCCGAACAAACGGAGACTTAAACAGGAGGGGACCGTATGCATATAGTTATAAAATTATCGTCACTTTTGAAGTCATGACATGGCTATGACTGTCAATAGTCAATGGCTCTCACAGTGCCAAGTAGCATCACCTTATTATTTTCTTCTCATGTGCTTTCAACCCAATTGAAGAAAGAAATTTTTCAAACATTCAATGAAGACATTCAAAACGAAAGTAATATGAGATGGCGGCCCTGTCCCTGCCTGGCCCCGAGCCGGGACAGGGGGTTTTATCCAATATGATATGTAATACTTTTGCTAAAGCAGGAAAGATAGTGGTTATGAGTCAAACTTTTCCTTTTTCGTGTCATCTTATTTTGCTATTACTCGTTATTTTAACTTGTGTAGGACTTGACCAATATGCCACTCAAAGCTATACATTAGCAAGCTATAGTTTCTGTGTGGCTCCCATTTTTTTCAAAACTCATTTTCAACAACATAATTTTGCATAAAATAATTTTACGGGTAAATTGAAAACTTTTCTTTTCTTTAAACAACACGTTCTTAAAAAAATCACTATTCCAAAATATATTTTTTACAAAAATGGGGCTCAAATAGGGGGCATATTCTGTCAAACTGTGGAAAAATCTTGCAATTCGTCTGAAAAAACATAAATTGTTAGATAGCATATTCCTTTTTCGTCATATCTGTGACACAAAATTTTTACAATTGTCCAAAAAATTTTATTCTAAACCTTTGCACTCTACTAGACTACTATTATACGATATTCGTGTTCACTCAGTGAATAATAATATCATTTCTGAATAGTTGAGCGTCATGTTTTTCGGTTCCTGATTAACATTAGAAAAAATGAAAATAAAACAAAGACAAATTTCAAAGTTTGATTTCCCGACTATTTTAGTATTTACTCAGCTTGATGACTAGCGAACCTCAATTTCACACTCTACAACCTGGCTGGCTTCAATATCTGGTGCAGCTTCACATCATTCCCAACCGATAAACTCTCATTGAAACTGGTTTTCATACTGGTAAAATATGCTTCACATCCTATCTGATGCTCCTTTGTTTTCCACCAGAATATCTTAAACTTGACTGCAGTTTCCGCCTCCACTTTAAAATCTATATTTCCACCTCTTAGCCCTTGCTGAAACTTTTGGTGGACCACGGCTGAGTCAGCTTTAATAGGTATTTTCCATGAAGTATTGTTCTTGTGTCCTTGATAAAATGGTGGTGTAGAACTTGTCCCAACAAAGACATCTTTGAAAAATAAACTCAAGGAGATCCCGTCATAGTATATGTTAATACCTTTGTTAGGATTCGAGATTTTGAAATCGAAAAGTATTAGAGAAGAGTTTCCAACAGAAGAATTCTCAGAATTTAGAGAAGGAAAGTATATGTTTACAATGGTAAAAGATGGATTTCTTGGGATTAGACAGCGCCATATAACTACAGAAACCAAACTTAACACTACTATCACCTGAAAAAACCAGCAGTAGATGCCGAAGTTAGCTTCACAAATTTTTTGGCGAACCATTTGTACTTGTAATGTAACGAAATGAAATCTTAAAGAAACTGATTCAGAATTTAAATTCAGGGTTCTGGATCATGAAAAGAGAGAGATTTGAAAAGGCATGTTCGTGGCTGGAAGTTGGCAAGACATATATGCTTGTGGTTACGCTATTTTATAGATGAATAGTTTGTGCACTGAAAATTTTCTAATACAAAAAAAATAATAATAAATAAATAAAAATTATGAAAAAAGTTTGCATGTTCATACCTAAGTCGAAAAGAAAGGAAGCCGCATTGGATCAAGTTAAACAACAGGTTGGACGGTTTGCTTTATTGGTCGTAAAAAGTGTTAACTAATTCAATCATGCTATATAGTCCAACTTCATGACAGAATTTTTTTTCCAGACAACACATGACAATTTTTCATTAAAAATCGGAAAAAGGCATCACAAAAACACTCAATCACAAACTGTCAAGTCTGCCTGTTTTTTATCCCTATTTTTTTCCCCCTATTTGAGTAGCATTTTCTAACTAATTTAAGCTCGGGGCAAATAGTGGTCGACAACGACCGCATGATCGGAGCCCTGATTCTATACCACAACCAAATCCATTCTTCCATATTGCGATTGATATATATGGTGATTATCTCTTGCGCCAATTTTATCCATTCTCCATTGAAGTATTGTAATAATCAACAATTTTGTGCCACTAAGACAGTCAAGTATCAATAAAAATTTCTTACAGTTTGGGTTATTTCAAATTTGCGATCTTAATTTTGGAGTTCGTGGTAGAATCAAGAAATTATTTCCATATCGACTATATCAAAATGGGGAAAGGTCTTGAGGACCCATTAGCATGAACGACAGATTAGAAACCATTTGCATTAAGGAACGACACTTCCAAGAATAGATTAATAGCAGCTGAAAAGCATAGCTGAAAATTAATTGGTTTATTGAAAAAAATACTTGGACAAAAGGCTATGATCCACTTCATTAAAGTAGCTTTTTGATCAATTCATAAGCATCTTCTGCCTTCTGAGTTAAGCAATCGAGTCAACATTACGTAGCTTAAGTATTTGATTTTCAATATGCCTTTTTTCTTATGCCAAAAAAAAAAAAAAAAAAAAAAAAAAAAACCCATAAAAGCAAAGAAATTTCTAGAGAAAATTGCAGTGAAGGTCCCAAACCTTTCAATTTTCTCCAAAATACCCCCTTAACCTTTTATTTTTGCGGCCGTAGTTCCAAACCTTTCACTTTAACGGCAGGGAGAGTCCATAAGACATATTTCATCTAATATTCCGTTAGTCAACCATGAAATTAGATGTTTGACTCAAATTAACAAATTAAGTTAGGAGTACAAATAATAAATTTAAATTTTCTATAATAAAACAATTAAAATAATTAAATGAAAACAAAAATCAATGTGAACTTTCTCTTCCCACCCCCCACCCACAATCCAAAACCAGAAAATGTTGGTGTCGACTTGATTAGCAATGGAGCTCAGTTTTTACTTCACGAGAAGTACTCGAGTACAAATCTAAAGCGATAGCCACAGAGGAATCATTGAACTATAAATTCGACTATTCTACTATGCCAGTATCGTCACATCAAAAAATTCGAAGGATAAACATAAAAATTAAAAAGTTGATAATTATACGATAGTAATCTTCTTATCCTGAGGAAAAAAGATAGATCAAGCGCATGGTGTATGCACTTTTACACACTCATCAACATGGAAACACCGGCCTACATTAATTATTCCAAGTGGAGAAATCCTCAACCATTAAATCTACATTGAAAAGAAAAATAAATACAGTGGTATATGACTCTTTTTAGATGACCATGCACATGTAGTTGTGCTTAATTTACTTTCTTCAAAATAACTTTTAATCACAACCAAACATGCTCATGTGTTCTTAGTTAACCTTAGTACACACACTTCTGATTTCTCCTTCTTTATCAGTAAGCACATTAATTCTGCCCATTTTCACCATCAACTCCCCAAAGTCTTCGAAGAAAGCAGATCCATGAGATAGAGCTTGAAATTAAAGATATGCTTTTGTTTCAATGTCATCTAGTAGAGCTGCGTCTGACTTGAAAAGCCCTCTTCTTTTCGCCACAAGTCTGAAATAAGACTCATCGAAGGTCTCGAAACTTCCGGGATCCATTTCCACTATTGAGTTCTGGTCTCGAGGCTTGCATTTCATCTTAAGTTTTTTTACGTACTTACTATCCAAACTGGGGTCGGTATCAAGCCTTCCAGTGAAATTGTAGAGACGGTAGTGGAAGGATGAGCAATGAGAAATCCCAATTGTATGTCCACCTAAATTAAAGGTAAAGTTTATGTTCGAACAAATTTCTACTGTGTTTTTGTCCTTCGAGATTGTAACATAATCCTATATTTCTTAACTTTAGAAAATGCAACTAAAAAGTCAAAAGTCAAAAATTATTTTTGAGACTACAAAATTATTTTCTGAAAGTTTTTATCTCACTAGAAGAATTGTTAGATGAAGTTGATATAAGTACCCCTTCATCATAAATTAAGCTCTTCTATGAGAAGAAAAAGAAAAAAATCTTTCATATATATATATATATTTTTTAATGACGGGGGAACTCGCAGCCGCTATTCTTTCGGTGCGCACTGAGTAAACCCTCAAACTAACACAATAGCCAGCAAATCATGTCAGCCAGGTAAACCGTACTAGGCAAACCCTGTGCGACAAGCTCTGCCAAAAAAGTATTGGTATGAGAAATCGAACTCGTGACCAAAGGTCTCCGCGCTCACCTATTCTACCAATTCGGCCACATCATGAGGGTTAAAAAAAAAAAAAAAATCTTTCATATTGTCCCTTAGTCAGATTGCTTAAGCAACCCTCACTTTTGCGACTAGTGCAACATAATTTTATATTTAATTTGTTCGGCATAAATTTACACGTGGAATATGTAGCAGTGGGCATCAAAATACCTGATAAGACTACGAGGTCCTTGACACTTAAACCGCGCTTCTTAAACCCTTTCTTTAAAGTACTAATGTTTGAAAAGGGTGCTAACAATTTATGTAGGGCTTCGCTCTTAATCGATGCTCTTCCATCTCTTCGTCCAGTTTCGACTTCCCAGAATGGCCCTTTAACCTGATAAACATAGAATTCAATTATAACCCTGAATATATCTTCATTATCTAATTGAATTTTTTCATATACTCAAAGTTACCGCTACTGTTACATCCCTAGCTACCAGGGCTAGTATGTCAGCACATGAAACGACACCGGGGCATACTTTCTCTGCTGCAGCCTTCGCTTGATCTATAATTTCAAATCCTCTTAAACTTAAATTTGGGTCAGCATCCTTCTCAGATTTTTTTGCTGGAGACTCCAACAACACTGATCCATCACAGCCCTGCATATAAATTAATAGAAATATAATACTTACCGAGCCTGTAACATGGAAGCATAAATTTTGGTAACGTACTCTAACGAAACAATCGTGAAAATGCATTCTTAACAATGGAGGTGCAAGAGTTGGCGATATAGAGATGACTTGGTCTACAATCTCTTTAACTAAGGGTTCAAGATCTGGGCATGTTTCCTGGTAATACCCTACTTTCAGACTTTGTCCATTTGCAACAATATTGAAAGCAAAAGCTAGGGTAATTAATTGAAAAAATAAGGTGCTTATTGAAGCCATGCAGTACTATGAAGTGTTAATTTCTTGTATTTTGGTACTGAAATTAGGTAAAGTAATTGCATCGTTTTATAGTAAGCCATCTACCAAAACCCTTTGAATCTGTCAGTGCATGGCTCTCTCTGATGTGATTCTTCTTAAGGTTTATCATTATCTATCATTTTTTTGAATAAATCTGATTGGTATTTTTGAACAAATAATTAATTGACCAAACAGTTGGGACCCACGTGGTGATGAAAGAAGATGACGATTTATTTGGGTCTGAAGTAAAATAAGTAAATTTTGACCTACATATTAATTTATTGATTAAAGTTGGAAAAAAAATTATTTTATTAATTTTGAAAGTAAATTTTATTGCATAGGACTTGGCAAATGAAAGTCCAAATAAATAATATTATCTAGCACCAGTGGTACTTGAATACCAGTTTATATGACATTATATGATAGATTAAATTAAATGTGAAATTATGCATTTTATTTAATTAAACTTGTAATTTAATAATACTAATACTGTCACATAGTTGGTATTAACCACCAGTGATGCTAACAAGCACTACTCAATGTAGATATGTAAGGTGTTCGCCTGACTTAGTCATTGTGTGCGTGACCAATTGTTAAGAGTCAAAATAAGTAAACTTCTATTTGTACCATTAAGCTTGTTTGTATGTTACTCTATAATGGGTTCAATATCATGTGTCCCATTCTTTATTTATACCCATGTTAAACCCAATAAAAAAATTTATTTTTTTCAAAACTCATTTTCAACCATACATATTTTAATAAAATAATATTATATGTAAATCTAAAATTTTTTCTTAATTTTTAATGATATATTCTCCATCAATCTATTATTCAAAATGAATTCTTTCCTAAAAAATGGACTTAAATACAATCTTAGAGATTAAGGTCAGCTTGCGGTTTGGTCCAGACTGTGGACCCGGTCCTGATTTCATTTGGAAGGTAGATTTTAAAAGTGTATTAATTAATTTGACATAAATCCAGTTGCTTTTGAATATGGTGAACAGTTAAAAAAATTGCCATGAAACCTGTGCGTTTCACTAACTACGTGTCAATTATTGCCATATACGTATACGTGTACAAAATTAATTTTTTTTTTTTTTTTTTTTTTTTTTTTAAGGTGTCCCAGCTTAGCCGGACTAAATCCTGGACCTCTAGCCCCCGGCCCCTCAGTGACTAGTGGAGGTAAATCGCAGGTTGTGCCCTTATTGGTTCCCAAGTTCCCACATGGCTTTTACTCCTTCCCCAAAGGAACCCTCTTCCATGGTTATTACATCACCAAGCTGCTCCAACCCTTCCTCTGGTTATTACATCACTTGGCTGCTCCAACCAGAAATCGAACTCCCCACACTTGGTTCCAGAGCCCCCCAATGTGATTGTTCTGCCAACTTGGATGTGCCCTGGGGGGCACGTGTACAAAATTAATTGCTTGCACAATGGTTGGTAGATTCGAGGTTTCAACATTTTCTTGGTGACTTCATCGAAATTACGGTTTCACTTCGGCTCGTCCTATCTTTGATCTTTGGAAAATTTAGATTTTTATCTTTTTGTTTAATGAAACTGTTGGGAATTTATTTAAACATGCACAGCGAAAATAAACAGTTTCAATTTTCACCAGGATTCAGCTTTGCATTTAAATAAGAACTTGATGAGAAATATATATTTTTCTTGATTTTGCAAACTCGTTTGCGTTATTCTTTTTCAGCAACTTGAATCTGCCTTCCACAGCTGTCCAATTGTCCAGCCTCCAATGAAATCCACACAGAGAATAGATTGCAACTGCTAGAGTTTTTCCTTTTGTGCCAGCAAAAATAATGAAAACCTTATGGATCTTAAACCCTAACCATGTATTTATATAAACCCAAACGGGCTCGACCCGATCCGGTCCGTGAATTAATTAATCCAATTAATTAATTCGGGGCTATAAATAACCAATCCAATAAATTAATTTTATCCAACGATTGGATGAATTAATTAATTGACAATTTGCAATCTTCCAAATCTCTTTTGTGTGCGACCCATCAGGTTCCCGACCACGATGCCTAACGACGTGAAATATTATTTTGATATATTCAAAACTGATAAATTAAACACCCTTTTAATTTATCACAAATTCACACTCGCCGTCTCAGATTGACATCTATCAATGTATCAAGGCAATACATGTGACGAGAAATTTCACGTGGTATGACAAAATCAAAACTATTCGTTTACCATGAAACTATAATCCCTTCGTCAATATGATCCGATCAACTACGAGATATGGAAGTGTGTCAATCTCGATTATCGATCATATCTTTCATTTTACTATTAAGTCAATATGAGTCGAAAACTCCTTTTCGACTTATATATATACCTTGGTCACGGATTTCGTTATTGACTTAATTGAATAAAATGCAGATCACAATCTCTTACTATCTAAGAGTGATGAATCCTCTATTGGTCATTCACAACCTTCATATGGTTCTTGACATACCCGAACGATGTCGTATTAGCGGCCCTTGGCAGAACAACATCCAACACCGTCAAAGCATGACTGTCTTTATACAAGGCACTATGATGACCTCAAGTCATAGGACCAATTCCACGACCGAACGTTAGAGATTAATAACTGACACTCAGATAATTATCCATGTGGAATCTCTTAGCGGGTCTCCAATGTTTTGTTTTATAACAAAACATCCACGTGTTCATTTAAGTGTCACCACACTTTAGCTTGTGAGATCGGCTACTTACTTCACAAGTAAGAAATGCCACACGTGATGGTCTATCTGTATTAACGATATCCGAATCTCGTTATTACTTACGACCACGGTTTGTTCAAGATCCAATCATATGTAATTTGTATCTCACAATCACAACTCATTGTGATTAACAAATCACTTAAACTTGGATCTTCGGACTCCATTATTTAATATTATTTATCACAAAATTAATTTAAGTAAATAATAGATCTTGCCAAAATTAAATGTATTAAATATATTAAAAATGTTTACAACCTAAATTGATTGGATTTAGGGCATAATACTTACAGAAACAATTCACAAATATCCTTAAAAAGCTTATTAATTAAATATTTAGCCATTATTTGATTGTCATTATTTAGCAAAAACAAAATTTTGAATAGTGAATTTTGAAGAATGTGTGGTTAAAAAGTAGGAAATAATTTTACGTTTATGTACAAAATATTTTATTGTGTGAATATGTAATTGAAAATGAGTATAAAGAATAAAGAATTTTAATATAATTATTGTCAATTAGAGGCTTACTTTTGTCGCTTTTTTATTCTCAAAACATTGTATTATTAATATTTCATTTTTAAATTTTTTTACAATAAATTTTGTATACACATATTCAACCACCCTATTTCCACCCTCATTATTGTCACTACCATCACCATGGCCACCGTCAATTGTAACACAATATGATCTGCACATTTTGGTGCATTTATCAATCAACATCATGATGGTCGACACCAACACTACTAGTAATGTTTAATGTTATACCATTATTGCCAGTCCCACCACTTTAGCATTAATCGTTATACTACCGTCAATCCCACCACTTAATATATTTATTGTTACGCCGCTATCGTTGCCCCATCATAGTCGTAACATTAATTATTATCCTACCATTTGCACCACCAAACCACCACCGCCTCCACTATAACCACCACTCTAAACCCTAAATCACCACTACCACTAGTAGATCTACACCACTTCTCCCATCATAAACCACCACCTCCCCACCATCACCATCATCACCACCACCATAAACCACCACATTTCAAACCTTAAATCATTCCTACGCACGACCACTATCACCACTACCACCATTTTTAGTCACCACCTAATCTTCACTCCCACAACAAACCAGCAAAAATAAAATCAATCTGAGACATAAAAGTATCAGATTTGCGGTGAAAGGAGGTGGTGGAGCGGGCATTGTTGATGGTGAAAATAATTGCGGGTGGTTCGTGATTGGTGGTGGTTCCATGTCTGTCAATACCCATAATCAACGTGTCTTTTATGCGGGAGAAGGTAATAGATTCAATATTTCCTTGTTTTCTTTCTCTTCTCGAACTTCACTTTCACATTTGAAAAAGAAAAAAAAAATTAATACTTAAAATTCAAGATTATTCATCAAAATCAACAAAAGACGTGACTTATTCTAATCACATGCATCATATCACTATATTTGTTAAGACACAGGATATCAATCCCACATATTGTGCAACGTAATATGCAGGCTATAATTGTTAAGGCACAAGAAATGGCTGATATCTTGATTGTGCATAATGTCTTGGTTGTAATGGCTGACATTTAGGCTGTAATCTTGTTGTAATCTTGTCATGTAATCTTGTCTATCCTTCTATATGTAACTGTAAAGTTATTATATATACATCAGCAATATACACTGCTTTGGTATCCTGCAAAAATAACTTTCAGCATTTGTTTATCATTCATGGTATCAAAGCTATAGAGCTTATGCTAAACAATTCTATTTCCGCTTTATTAACATGGCTAAGTTTAGTTCTTCCTCCTCATCCAAGTTTTCATTCACCAATCCCACGCAACTTGTCTCGATCAAACTTGATGAGACAAACTATCTTGCATGGATTTCTTAGTTTAAACCTATCTTGAAGAGTCACAACCTTTTGGGTTTTATTGATGGCTTTCCTTCTTTTCCTCCCACGTATGTTGATGACGCTGTTAAGAAAAATGGGATAGTGAATCCAGCATATACTATTTGGCAGAACCGTGACTAACTTTTACTGAGTTGGATCATCTATTCTATCTCTCCTTCACTGGTGGCATCTCTTTATGGTCTGGACACATCCTACTTGGCATAGCAGTCTCTTGCAGCTTGTTATGCATCACAGTCCAAATCTTGAGTCTCACACCTGAAGCGTCAATTACAGAACCTACAGCAGGGCTCTATGACCTGTGCTTCCTACCTCTCTGAAGCCAAGTCCTTGGCTGACCAACTCTCTGCTTTTGGGAA